GCTGGACATGAGTATTGTAGATTAGACGTCCCGGCTGAATCGATCGATAGTATACTCCCTTTCAAAAAACGAGAAGAGCGTCGGGTGCAGACCATACACCACAAGTGACGACGGCCTCCACAAAATGTAAATGTTTTCTGCCAATGAAATGATTAGCCTGTTGCAGTTGTATTCTATCAGTTGTCACTAACAACTATCATTTACCAAAAATCAGCTATCACTATGAACCACTACTAACCAGATTTACTTGGAGGCCGTCGTCACTTGTGGTGTATGGTCTGCACCCGACACTCTTCTCGTTTTTGAAAGGGAGGGTATATAATCTTGCCAGCGCACTATCCTAATCTACTACTATCCTAATCTCCCCGTCAATACATATCTTTTTCATTGTCGCGTACTATCCTAATCTCCGGTGTCGCGAACTATGAACGCGGTTAGATTGAGACCGTGCAATATACTTTTACAAGTTTCGAAGGAAAAAGCACGTACATGTTCTTCATGCCTCTTTATGCATATAAGGATTGTGCATGACCTATTATTGGGAGGGGATTTCTGAAGATTTTGGGTACCCGACAGGAAGCCCGTCCGCGGCGAGGAAGTAGAGACGCAGACGGGTCAGCGGACGAGTCGCAGCGCGTACTGTAGCGATTTCAGCGTCAAGTTAAATAGAATGTACTATAGTACGTCCCACATCGCACATGCGCTGCGACTCGTCCACCACCTGTCTGCGTCTCTGCCTTCGCGCCGCGCGACGAGCCTCCTGCTGGGTACCCGCAAGTTTTCCGCAACGCCTTGGTTGACCCTAGCCCAGTGTGGGGAGACTTGCTCACTACTATAATCTCCTTGACTGTGCTGTTATTTATAATGACAATTTTTCAGCGATCGTAAATTTGGGACGAGTCCGAATTGCTCGAAATCATATTGAGACGCTTCAAACAGTCGAGTCATTACTTTCGACGGCAATTCAAACACGCGTCGAAGAGAACACGATGGAGTGCGGCTGCGATCTTCAGTGGATGACTGCGCATGAGGTTAGCAGAGCACAAAAGTAAAAACATGAAGCATTCGCCGTAGATTAATCCCCTCTTGGAATGCGCGTTCTACTCATGCAGAGCATAAGTAGAATGCGTGGCGCATCCCAAAAGGGGACCGATAGCCAACCGTGCGTCTTCTCAAGCGAGACTATGAGTCCTATTGAGCACTGCTGTCCTCAGAAGCCTCTAACTATTTTGGGGGCCGTATGCTAGAACCACCATAGTAGGTTATTGAATGCACTCCTGTTCACAGAACTTTTTTTTAAATCCAACGCTTGTGCTAGCACAGGATAGTAAAGCATGGGCAGAGAATTCCTGATTGGATTGGCGGTGGCTATGTGGAATTTTGGGAGGAGATGAGAGAACCACGCGGGCGGCGCGGTCGTCTGCTTGCCGCGCCATGTACTGTGATGGTACTAAGCTTGAATCTAGAAAAGAATGGGTAAGCTGTAAACAGTTTGATTCGTGATTCCTGAAATATGCCGGAGGAACCACTTCTGAGCCTACTTCCTAGGCTCAAGCTTATTGCCACCACGCTGAGTAAACGCCGACGAGCCTAGCGCCGCGCCGTCGCGTGGCCCCTCCTACTCATTTAGCACATGGATTTCATCCCATTTGGTATTTGGTGAAATGTTGTTTGTCAACGCGTGGTCAGTATTGAATAACGGCTCATGAAAGAAGATGGAAATGAAAACTCTCGAAAAGCGGAGGGAAAAGATGAAGAATACGGGTTTGAAGGCGTTTAGGGGTATTCGTACTCAAAAAAATCACCACACATCGAAATACCTGACCCTGCTGTCAGCCCAAGCGAGCGAATTCTGATTCCATGTGTAATCTTATTCGTAGAAGAAGCATCAATCGTAACCCAGTCTTCGTTCCAGGACCGTCGAATCGCCGATGTGAACTATTGTGGTCCAAGCGGTGTGCATCGAACAGTACGCACTTACCTACGGCAGTACTGCCATCGACCAAAACCTACGGAGTTATCGACGTCGTCGGAAACCTTCCTCGTCACCAATCATGACCGGATGCTTGGCGAACCTCAGCCTCCAAGCGCTGCCGCTAGATACCGATTGTCTGTCTATATGATTGTGCCAGTTGTCGGTTTCCTGTTGTTATAGTGAGTCCCTTCTATGCTCAGCAGACTTGCTACGAAATGCTTATGTTGAGGTATTAACAGCATTTGCTGCTGAGTGAAGCCCAGTCAGGGACAACCCTTGCATTGGGACAAATTTGGATTTAGTACGACCCTTCTCTTGGTGAAGTTATTACGGTTAATCTTTAAAGGAATCTTCCCGGCGGACCATGGACTAGTGGGCGGGACCGGAAGTGGTTTTGCGACGAAATGCATGGTAGGTACGGATCCACGTTCATGGGAAGGTTTGAAGTGAATCCTGTTCACGTTCGTGCGTTCGACACGTGGATCCGTACCTACCATGCATTTCGTCACAAAAACTTCCGGTCCCGCCCACTGGTCCATGGTCCGTGGAAGATTCCTTTAAAACTTCCCATAACTTCTCTTCGGAAATAAGTTGCCTGGGGGCCACCGTTCCGATCTGCCTTCCCAACTCTCAGAGTTAGGGCTGGGTGGTGGCGAGTGGGATCGGTGTTTTTGGACCCCCCTTCCCACCCCCCCGGGGGGATGCGAATGCTTAAATTGCTGAATGCAAAATCAGGGGGAATTTATCTATTTTCAGGGTTTTTTTCCTGAATTCATGAAGTCCAAGAATTCCCTTCCCATATCTTTTAGCAATTCCAACCAAAACGACGTGCGCGAGAGGGTTGGAATCAGGATCAAATATCCGTTGGACACTCCTTGGGATTGGTCGACCCTATGCCCAACCCCTCCCGTGTCGCCGCCGTCGATAGCCCCATCCCAAAGAAGCGCTATACGTATCGACGCCCTCTATATGACCAACCACGCGCTACCAACAGTCAAAGAAGCAGAAGCGAGCTGCAAGTCTGCTGAGTTTAGAATTACTTCCTGAATCTTCTAGTCGCCACGCCCCTTCCGTCGTTGTGCATTATCAGCTGAATCCGTCGGGTTTTCTCAATGTCTTTTTTCTTTCAGACCACGTTTCTTTCATTCTCACTTTCTATTATATTATATGAATTAGTGTATCGATTACTGTAATATATTCACACATTATAATAAAGCTTATTTTGAAAAAATCCAATCAAAATAGAGGTGTGAACGGCCAATAATGTACTCTTTGAATCGATTGATTATCATTTATACTAAAGCCGAAAAGTGACATGTATTTGTTAGGCAAGAGGATTCAAAAATCAATATGACAATTGAAAACCTGAAAGTGCCAGAGAAACGAGGCAAGACCAGGTCATAGACGCAGAGGATGTACAATAATATGAAGTGTACAGAAAAAGCTAAAGGCGCAATGTGGCTCGAGGGGGGCCAGTCGCCGCGCGCGATCTCTGCTCGTCCGCGCCCTGTAGTACTAAGCCTAAGAGTGGGCAGGAACTTTGGGAAGATGAAAATTGCTATGATCCTGGAGTTCCTCCTCCCCTGCCCGAGAGCTTAGTCCCGATTAAGGGAAGAGGAAAGGAAAGCTTACACAAAAAATGCAGAGATCGCGCGCGGCGACTGGCCTCCCTCGAACCACATTGCGCCAAGCTAAAGTACGTGAATAGTAATACATATCAAATACATCAATCTATAGGTCTAGGTAGTGTTCTTTTTGGGTTGATGTGATTTTGCCAAATAGGGAATTGCGATCGATTATCGATCGAATGAAGAAGAATTGAAGAAGGGACCATCCACTGGCGAAGTCTTCCACGATGAGGTCATGTTAAGGGAAACAGGTCAAGTCAGGCACAAAGTCTCATAAATATCAACAACTATTAACTGTGACCGACTTATGCCCGACGTCGCTCTTCGTCGCTGACCTGGTTTATGCGAAACGTCGCGCAACCGCGCGCGTTCATACCCTATATTTTTGTCCGCATCTTGCTTCTCGCATAAGAATTTCTGGATGACAAAGTGAAGAAGAGGTAGTGACGCTTTCAGGACCTCCCTAGAAATCTGAATTCGCCAGTTCTCGTCTCGGAAATTGAGTTTGGCATCGCCTTTTGGTGGGTCGTCATCGTTGATGCCTTTTGTGGTATATCCGTATTTCGGAAGGGGAGGTGGGCCCGTCGACGGTGGTCGTTCTTCGCTCGAACTTCGCTGCAGTGCCTCTGGGCTCTCGTCGATGACGCTCATCTTTCGTCTGTAGGGACTGGCGTACTCCAGGAATGGTGTGGTGGTCCGTGACGGAGCCACAAAATCCAGAAATGAGGAGGACTCCACGTCGTCGTACGGTCGGACCTTCGTGTGTGAATAGTAATCAAATGACCGACTGAGTGGCTCAGTGCGTCGTTCCCGTGTTGCTTGTTGGATACTGTAGACTCCGCTGTCTGATGATGCCGTCGGCCAAGCGCGATAAGAGCTGTGAATATCTTCGAAATCTGGCTCGAGTTGACCCATTGGGCTACCATCTCTTTCCTCATCCGCCCAGAGGTTGTTCGGTTTGGGAGAAGGCATCCGGTGATCCTCATAGGGCACTGATTGTAATGAGCGGTTGTTTTCAGATTCTTCATGGCATGAGGCTAAAGGGAAATCCCTGAGGGCCTTACTTGAGGTTGCCTCCGATAAGCTCGAACTTGAAGTGCAGTATTTTCCCTTTCCTGTGACAAGAGAGAAAACTTTTGATTCCTGGCAAGTCCTCCTGGGGTCTTCTGATGGCAGAGGTAAATGGATTTTGTCCGAGAGGTTGCCGTGGGCCACATCCAGCACCCTTGAACTGGAAGGACCTGTCATGCCTGATTCTTTTGGCACGATAACTCTTAAAGAATCATCTGAGGATGTGACCGGAGTTGGCGAGAAGCGCACAGGAGTATTATTGTGGGTAATACCTTCCGAAGACATGCTTGACTGAGAGTTTTCAGTCCCAGTGGAAGAAGAAGGGTTTCTCACCGGCAGAATCTTCCCATCTGGGAGAACCAGTGTTTTCACCCGGGGAAGCCCGTAGGATTTGCTCTCGGTGCCTGTCTGAAATCGTTCCTCAGAGGTCACTGTGACATTTCCAACTCTTGCAGATACCGTGAAAGGGGATTGAGAAGTGAATTCGTCCACGAGGGTCACTTTCGACCGCAACTCGTCCAATAACTGCGTCTGCTTGCTCGAAGTGGGATCTGGTGGAGGCGGACCGAGCGAGGAGTTTGGAGAGAACATCCAGCTGAAATGAATCTATCGAATGCACTCGATGAGTGCGAGAAATTCAAAAATGAAAGTTCTCACGAAAGAACTGGGCAAAGACTTTTCCCACCTCGAGACTTTTTCCTCGGCTGCGATCCTCTCGTAGAGTTTACGACCAGGCGAGAGGCTTGCTTCTTGAGCGGTGGCAGTGGTGTCGTCTTCCATTTTTGCTATGACTTCGCTGATTTTTTTTTCCAACCTAAAGTTAGAGAAAGAGAGAACATTCTGCGTATCGTAAATTGGAAGATCCTTTAAAGGACGAATTCACGATGAAAAAGCAACCCATTTCAAATTAACCTAGGGATGGTGAGTGGTACACGAAAGAAGGAAGAACCATGAGAAACGGCCCAGAACCCGAGAAATGGTACCCCTTCCTTGCCCGTTGATTCGAGCATTGATGCGACTCTCATCGCTGTGCCCTCTTCAACACTACGCTCTCTCAGCTATCTAATCACTCGCCACGTATTGAACTACGGCGAGTGATCAGATGATCGGTGGGCGGAGATCGCCGGACCCGCCAGCTTTGAGGCATGATAGGTCGCCGAGGTCAAATTTTTCCATGCGAATTGCGCGTCAGTTCGCACCCTCAGGAGGTCCGTGGGTCCCTCAACTAGGTCAGTTTCCCTTTCTTCGACCTTCATTCTAATCGTGAATTCCTCCTTTAAAAAGCTTGGGGACTAGAAGGAAGGAACCTACGAAAAATAAAAATTGCTAAGGTACCCTCGAGTCTCTACCCTCTTTTAGAGACCTAGACTAGGCACCTTTGAAGAAGCTGTCCATCGCAGTTCAAAGTAATCTCCACACAGGCCCCGTTCTTGAGATCTGCGCAGAAACGAATTCTTTCATTTTATCACACATTCCTTTATTTTTGAGCTCCAACTGCAGATAACGTTGCTAGTTAAATCGCCCGCCGATTTAAATAGATTTTGGTAACGGGATTGCGGCAAACACTTGAACTTAGAGTGAACAGTGCTGCCTCTTTCTATGTCGTTCTTCACAGAATACTTCACGTTTATAGTATTTATGTTCAACCAAGCTTCTTTAATCAGTTAATCGACTGTGGAAGGAGTAAAGGTGGTGTATTGGACACAATGGGGGGAGACAATTCATGAAGCCGCAGGTGAAAACGTACTGGTGACGCCAGCGCTGCTTATTGCTCGCGGGAAGAAACGAATTTTGGCCGGGGCGGTCATAACAGGTTGATTCACATAGATGCATAAGAAAACGACAAGGTTTCGCGGAGACTGCACGTGCTTTCTAGTCACGTATTAACCTGCTCAGTTAGAGAGTGGTATAGCGTGGATTATGAGGTTATACACTGCGTCCCATAATTATAACTCCACCCAAGAATTTCCCAAAATCTCACAAATTTAGATGTTTTAGAAAAAGTCTCTAATGTGGCAGTGTGTCAAATACAAATACGAAATTCCTTATAAGCATCATCTTCCAACTTGAGGATCCAGGATTTTTTTCTAATAATTTTTGTTCAAAAAAGGCCGCATAGCCGACGTCTCAAATTATAAGCCCACTCATGCTTTTCTTATTAATGTTTCAACGGAACAATGTTTTTTGCTTGCGAATAAGTCCCAAGTTGATTCTCGAGTGGAAAACGTGGAAGGCATCATCTGTGGTAAGAAACCATGGCGGAATTCTTGCTGAGTTTTCCGGAAAGGTGCATCCGAGCCGACTGTAGTAAGGTTCGCTCTTACTTGCGATTCATTACTTCGCATTTCTTTTCTCCTGGTAGTGCTTCGCGAAGAGAAAAGCTACTAAGGATGAGAAAAGCACGAAAAGAAAAACAAACAAATGCTAAAACATATCGAGCAAAAGCGAACCTTACTCCAGTCGGCTCCGTTGCATCTTTCTGTGAAAATGGGCTCAATTTTCGCCACGGTTTCTGCCACAGATGATGCCTTCCACAGTTCTCCACTGCGGGAATCAATTTGGGATTCATTCGCAAGCAAAAACATTGTTCCCGTTGAAGCCATTAATTTCGAAGAAGATTTTGATTCAATGTCAAGATTTCTTCATAAAAAAGGATGTGTTCTTCTGTGACACGGCCTTTGTTTCTACCGAAAAGCAAGGGGAGATCCTTTTGGAGCTCTTCTCAACTCCATATCATGTAAAATCCCTGAAAAAATTCTCGAGCTCCTCGTGAATTTGGTCAAAATCTTGTGCGATTGCCTAATTAGTAGTTTTTGCGACGACCTGACCTTTTAAAAAGTCAGACAGCATTTTCTATCATACTGTCCCCTTGAGAAGTAGGATGTTAGCACATTAAAAAAGTTTGGCGAAACGGAAGTGAAAAATAATAGAAAAACATGAGGTGGAGTTATAATTTTGGGACGTTCGGCCAAGTGGCCTTTTGAACAAAAATTATTTAGAAAAAATTCCTGGGATCTCAAGTTGGAAGCTGATGCTTTTATAGGCAATTTTCGAATTTTATTTGTATTTAACACTGCCACATCGGAGACTTTTGTTTCTAAAACTGCTAATATTTGGTCTTGGATTTGTGGAAATTTTTAGGTGCGATGTTATAATTATGGGAGCAGTGTATATTATTCGGTGAAATAAGGATTGATCAGAGAGCCTTCAAAATTTAGCTAACAAGCGTTTTTTCTTTGCCGTGATTTTCAGGGTCCTTTGGAAGTCTCCTTTGGGAAAATGGTGATTTATGTTACCCATAATTCATTTGCTTGGGACCAACCGTTCACGGTAAAACGAAAAGAACAAAAATTTCACCTCCTGCTCTCCTTCTTCTTTTTTGAGAATTCCACACTCACCTCTGCTCAATCTTTTGTAGAGTCGTCTCCTGATCCTTGGCTTTTCTCAACCCTCATCGGTGGTATCGCCATAGGAGTGAAGGCCACTGGTGGAGCAGGTGGGGCACTTCGAAAAGCCAACTCCGGTTTTAACAATCGGATAACGACAACGCATGAAGTTACCATTATAATCGCAGGCTTGCAGTGAGTCCTGAAATAAAAGATAGAGATACGGTAATCCATTCTGGTTGATTCCCTATTCACCTGGATAGTTTTCGCGGCCACTTGTGGATTGACAGAACTTGTAAGTATGGACGCGATCTGACCAGTACTCAAACGTTCCCAAATCGCCCAACTGGCAATAATCACATAGTCCGTATCACGGGTGATTGGTATCGATTTATTGATCGGTCTAGGAGTGATGATGGGATGGAGACTGTAGAAACCCAATTGACGGCTATTCGGTGTGACGCCATTGATAATATTGTTCTGAAATCAGAAAGAAGTGTTGAACAACACATCAAATTCCAATAATATGCTAAAAAGTATTGTTGAAAACGGTTCAAAAAATTCGAAGAGTAAAAAATGAATGTCATCATGTTATTTTCTAGCTATATTTCTTTCTGAATGTATTTAAAAATTGAAAAAAAATGAAATTTTGTCGCAGTGCCCAGAATTCTGTTGTCAAGATCCTTGTGAGGAACAATGCCGAATAGATTTTTGGCACGATTCATTGATGGATAAGGAGGAGTTCTTTCAGGCCTAGGAAATATGTACATAGTGATGAAGAAACCTATAAAATACTTGCAAGACCTTCAAAGAACTTGAGCAAAAAATGTTCTAGGTAAGGACTACCGGAGCGCTATACGAAAGAAAGCCATTTAAGAAAAAAGTTGGTATCCGGCCTGAATAAAGGAATACTTTTTGATTTATGCAGTGGATTTATATGTTTGTTTGTTTATAGACTTTGGTTAAT